TGATTAAGATACATTATATCCGTAATGTACAGAAAATGTGGAGGTATTTGTTGCAAAAAAGGGAAAAAAAAGTGAAACAAAAAAAAGTTCTTTCTTGGCTTTGATGTAATCAACATCTGTCAACAGAATGAATTTGCTTTTGTTTAATTTCAAGGGCTCTTGTCCTTCTACTTTGCCCAATCAGTTTCAACTTATGCCTCAGGCATTTCCCTATGTTGTTCTTGGACTTTTTTCCTTTTTTATTCTTCTTCTTTTTTTTTAGCAAATGCGCAGGTTATTGCATCTGAAATGTGAGCTGCTCTTCTGCTACACAGGTTACACAGAGCTGGAAAGGACCTTTAATCTTTCCCATCCTATTTTAGAAGCTTGGACATACCTTTGCAACAGGAGGGGTTACAAAGTCAGTGTTTTATTAGACATAGTTAAAATTACAAGTAAAGGTCTTTCAAATCACAGCCATTATTTTGGACTGAAAAATGGGAACATTTGGTAATTAGCAGTAAGAACCTATGTATTCTTACCTAGTTGCATTGGCTGGATTCCATATATTGTTACCCTTAGTGATTTTTAATACCTCATTTTAACTTTAATCCTCAGAAGTTTCAGCAAAATTAGTATTTGTACAAGAACCTAAATTATGGTAGAGTATTAAAATTACCTGACAAGCCAAATGAAAGATCTCTAGTGTTTTACGTCCAAATGAGTATATATTAAGAAAATCTCTACAGTCATTCTTTTTTCAGTTTAAAAATAAAGATTAAATCACATATTTTGAAAAGAGTTGTCAGAACAATGCTTTTGATGTTATTAACTTTATCAAGAGCGAGTTGATTTTATTTCCTAAATAGTTTGGGGTGTTAATTCTTGCAATCCTAAATAATTTTGGTACTCTGCTTCTGTTGATACTATGACTAAATTATTTTACAATACGTTAATTTATTTATTGTCTCTTTTAAGATGCACCCTTGTATTTATTGTAGCTCAGAACTATAATGAAGTTTATCAATTGGTAATATTTTTGTTAATTGCTTGGAAAATTTAAATTTTCATGAATAAATACCAAAAAAATGGTTGCTAACAATCACATTTGATGAATCATGTAAATGAGCAGTTTTTTGCCCAGCTACCCCACACTTCATTCATTGGAAACATAGCTTGATAATTTGCTGTAACTGTTAAACAAGAAGCATTAGAAAAGGGCTTATGTGAGAGTTCATTTCCAACATCTCCCGTTAAAAATACTTCTTGACCAGAGGAAAATCACATTTAAATTACTAAAATCAACTTAATTAAGGGTCATTAATAGAGATACGCATAAAAAAACTCCCCACTCTAGGAGTGAAATGGGAGCATTTCATTATATAGTGTAACATGCATGAACAGATAACAATTAAAATAGCCCTAGAGTAAAAGGCTAATAAATATAGGGCACTCTGTGCTGCAAAATCAGTCACTTAAAAATGCTCCCACCCATCATAATTCTTGAATGCCATATTCAGCCCCTCTGACTGACTCATTTAAATGGAAAAGAAATGTAATTTCCACACAAGATAAATTCATCTGGTAATTCAGAAGGGCTCACAGTGCATATTTCTATTATTAATCCAGATGAAGGTCTGGAAGGTGTGCTGAGGAATCCAGCGGCTCTGGCAGGACATGCGCGCACAAGGATTGCACAGTGGGATTCGCTGGCGGCTCAGCGGAGCAGTTGTCAGTAATTTTCTGTGCTCGATGCATCCGAGCTGCTGATGTGATTCAGTAACACTGCTGATAATTCTCCTTAGTGCAGCTGATAGTAAATTTTCTGTTGCACATGGCAGGTGAGGTAGCCTTGCTGTTGGGATACAGAATAAACATGTAAAGGGTCAACTTTGTATCCCTGGCTGTGCTGGACTGTTACCAGCCTACCCAGCTTCACACACCATGCTCTCCGGTGGCTCCAGTTTCTGCTGGAAGATGTATAAATGCCATGTTTGTGAATTATCTTATAGTAATTAGTATACACAGAAGGCTTAACAAAAGGATGTGCTTGAGCACCAGTGTTTCAGAAGTAAAGGCACTGAGAAAAGCTTTGATGGGTGTAAGGGGTGGGGAGGAGGGAACCTCTGAGCCAGACTTGGAGAATACAGACAGTTGTTCCTGTCTCAGGTGATTGATGATGTTGCTATATCGAATTAGCTGAGAATATGGGAGCTTGAAAAATAAAAGGAGCTGTGGAGGCATTAGAAGGCCTTCTTAAGGAAGGAAGTGTGTGGATGGAATCCAGATTTTCATTACAGACCAGTAACTTCATTGTATTTTAATGCCATTTTATTTAATTTTATTTTTACTTTGTAGGAGAATGTTTTCTCTTATAAGTTTTTATATTTCAAATAAAGGTTTAGTTGTCTTGTGTTTATAATTCTTGTGATATAATTTAGGAATTGTATTTTACAATGGTGATACTTATTTGCTTGTCTCACTTCATCTGTTCAAGTAGTAGGTATTTTTGTATGCATCTGGTTTATAATGAGTAGTTAGTAGAATAACAACAGGCTACGGTACCTTATTATCCCGTTATTTTGTGACAACACTTGCAGTGTATCTTTGGGAGAATAGAGGTAAAAATTTTATTCTGAATAAAACATCCCTTCTGAATGTGAGCTAGTCAATAGACATACACCCATGGATATGGTTTAATGTATTTAAGAGTGTGTATTTGGGGGAGCACATTTGGAATAATTTACAAGCACACTTTTACCATTCTTCCCCAGTTAAATTGTGGCACAGTAGACAAGGTGCCCAGGGAGCATTCTGGGCATCAAGGAGAGCGTTTAAAATGCATGTTCACATACTGATGTCCATGTGGACTTTAGCTAACCACAGCAGTGAGTGTGGGATTTTGATATATTTGTAGTACCTTTAGCTGTGCTAAGAGCAAGGTACTTCAACAGCACTTTGTAGAAGAGAGAACTTGGCTTACACTGTCAGAGTGATTGCTACTTCTGATGGCCCAAAAGTTGCTGCCTCAGCATATTCTGTGCTTCCAAATTCCAGAAATGAGTACAAACCAGACAGGGAGTTTGTAGGATGCTTTGGGTTCTTCAGACGTGCTTACAGTTGCAGTTTAGGTGACCCTTTCTCTTTTTTTTGTATGTTTGGGTGATTTTTGTTAATTAGACAATGATTTTTTTTCTTGTGGAGGAGACTCTAGGAAAGTAGAGTATGAGTCTGCTGTTTAAATTCTACTTAATAGGCTACCAAATCAATCCAGCCCACTCTTAACTGGGCAGCCCCACTTCCCTGGAGGCACTTGCTTCTGTTTTGAAGCAGGTAGCTTCCATTGGGTACTTGGGTTATACTGAGGGCTGGACATGAACCTCAGCTCCACTTTGTTATTTATCTACAAGTAAAGCAAGCAAACAACAACAGCCACCAAAACAAAAAAAATTAACCAAGCAAAAAACCCAAACAAAACAAATGAGTAAAAAAACCCAACAACGACAATAACAGCAACAAAAACCACCAGTAAAAATTTGCTTGACTAAAAGTTTCTACATCTAGATTTTAACTTTTCAGATATTAGAACATAAATGTAATTCTGATCAGTGCAAAGAGACAGTTGGGAACATTTCTAACGCAAACCTGATGCAACTATTTCATTCAGTCTGGGCTTGGGGCTCCAAAACAGTGCATAACTCAAATCTCCTGTATGTCATGGAATACTGTAAAAGGGCTGTCTTATAAGGATTGCACATGTGGAAGGATAATTTCTGCATCTGAACATGATAAATGAATACAAAGGAAAGGAAGAAAGGTACAATAGAATAAAAGCATGCAAGATAAGAAAGAAATTATTTTGGAAATAAATATTTTTACTTAGTTACAAAATATGCAGTAGACTAATTTCTTAATTTCTGTGATACAAAAATGTTTAGTTACTTCTGTTTAAACAAAACCGTTTTACTGAAGAATAATTATTCGTCAGGATTACTTGCCACAAGATTGCTCTTGTATTTGTATACATAATGACATTTTTCAGAAGCAGATCAACTATTACGTTAAACTTATGTTTCACAAAAGAACCTGTGTTTATACTGTAGAACATTTGAGTAGTGGAAATACACACTCTGTAATTGTAATGTAATTGGGCATTGTCAAAAATCCTTTTGAATTTTCTGGTTTTGATGCTAGCATTGTCTTTTGTGGTGCATTATTTTGGTTTTGATGTCTCTGAGAGCCTTTGGGTCTCAACTGCCCTTTCTTTTCTGTGTTTTCCTTTTTTCTTTTTTTCCTTTTTTCATTTTTTGTGGGGGCAGAAGTGTCATTGCCCAACTACTAAGTTTGAGCTATGAAACTTTTGCCCCAAATTCCCATGCTAATTAAATTGAAATCTGATTCAAATACTCCAAATAAATTGCAAATTTTAATCCCTTCAATTACTTCTGGCCAAGATTAAAAATAACTCCTGAAGTTTCTTCTGTTGCCCCCTGAACAAAAGGAACTGCTCTTTGTGTCTTGAGCAACAAGACAAAGATCAACATTACCTTTGTTATGCTCAAATATGTGACCAATTCTGCAGAAATACAGCTGAAAATATTGTATGAAATAACATTAAATCTTCTTTTTTTTGTCTTCTATTTTCTTGCTATTGTGCCTTATTAACTGCTTTGCCAAGCCTTCAAGAGTGCAGCTGTGCAAATTGCTCCAAGCAGAGGCCAGTTAGGGTATCACTCCTTTCTGTAAATGGTGGGGAAATTTACCCACACTGCTTTTTAATGCATCAAACCAAAACTGATTTGGTATTTTATAAAGCTTCAAAGTATTACTTGGGAATGTTTTTTGTTCTCATTTCTTTTCGTTCTTTCTCCTCTTAAACAGTACAAGATTTGAATTACCCTTAGCAACTACATGAGTTCTGTGGTTTGTTTTACATGATGCCCTTGTTTTTGCATACTCTCCATTTTGTAATGTGAGAGTAGAAAAAAAAATTTAATAACTTTTAATTTATCTCTTAACAGGTTCTGTGACTGGCTGCCACATAATCTTTTCTTTGTGCAATCGTAACTACCTGCACAGGCACTCAAGCAATCACCAGCAAAGATGCTTCTTCTTTCAGGGACAAAGAAATGCTGCTTATAGTATAGTTTGGCCAGCCATGGTTTCTCCAGCTCACCAAGTTCCTAAGGTACTGCAATTTCTGTTACCTAATCTGTTCTTCAGTCAGTGTAGAGTTTGACTGCAGTCATGATCAAGTGTATTTGTTGTCCAACAGCTGGGGGTTGGATCACTGTCCTGTTGCTTGGTCTGGTATTTGAAATAGGAGAGCTGATGTTCAGCTGTCTACTATGTTAAACTCAGTAATGTATTTAGTTATGAGGGAGTTCAAACCTGGGGCTTGTTCAGTTATAGTAGAATAAATGTGAGTATTATAATTATCTGTCGAAAATTCTGGGTCCAGATTCTTGTTTGGAGCAATTGTAGACAGTCTTACCAAAAGTCAGTAGGAATCATTCATGATCATCTGAGTCCCCTTCTGTATAAATCTCCAGCAAGCTAATTATAAAAATGCTTATATTTTGCTGATGGTTTTATTATTCGGTTATGTCAGAAAGAAAATGTACAGTACCTGCTGGTAGCTGTCCCACCGCCCCACTGTATGTTTTAAACTTCTCTTTTTTGTGCCTGAGTGTTCTTTTTCCTTGCAACATATATTTTTGTTTTTATTTACTTTGAAGCCAAAAGGGACTTTTTGATGAAAATGCAAATTTAACATGTGCTCCACTTCTGGTTTCCTTTTTTTCCTTTTCTTTTTTTTTCCCCTGTTTAATTACAGCATAGAGATTAACTGTTTAGTATCTTTTCTTTAGCCAAAAGAAACCAAAGTACCCTTTCTAAACATTTCTTCACAGGATGTGCATTAGTACTTCTTACAATTTTGTTTTTCATTTTAATATAGATTTCTTATGCCAAATATAGGGCATTTCCATGGGCCAAATATACTAAAAACTTGTTAGATAGGAAATCAGATAAGAATGGTGGAAGTAGGGCTCTTCCTACCCTAGAGGTTGTGGAAGCTCTCTGTGCAGGGAGAACATAGGGTTACATGCTCTATATATTTTCAAAAGCTTAAAAATCATAGAATTAAAAAACTTTATTTTCTGTATTCAGATGCTTCTTTTAGATAAAGAGAAAGAAATATATTGTCATAATGAAAAGTTATCTTCCCACATCAGAGTTCTCAGACATCTAAAAATCACTCCATGTCTATGAACTCTGAAAACTTGAGGGCAAAATTATTGCTTTTATTCAGAATATGCCAGAAATCACACTGAAATAACAGTGTTTTTTAAGATGTTGGTGTGGAACTGTCCACATAGACATTTGTATGTACGCTGCTTTGGGCTTTTCCCTTCACAGTTCTTAGAGGTCAGTAGGATCATGTCTCAGTTAATAGGCAAGTGCCCTCCAAGAGGAAGGCAGGGGCGATACTGTGTATGGAGTTGCTAATCCAACAAATGGTGTTGTTTTGTTGTTGTTGTTTTTTTAACTGAGGCCCAAACTACTGCAATGGGACATTGTTAAGGTTGATATGGCATTAATTGCAAAGAAATGGGAATCTGAAATCCTGTTGGCAATAGTTTGCCAAATATACTTTCAGTTTTTATCAGATTAGACATAAAATATCTGTAACAGCAATGGTAGTCTTCCTAAAATCCCAGTAGAGTTCATCAATTGTCCCACTATTTGTTACTCCAACACCCTGTTGTTGTATGGTTGTTTTGTGTACAGCCAAAATGCCTACTTTGTCTTCTGGCAGCCAGCTTGACTCAGTATTTTGTGAAGTCAGTGCAAAACTCACCCTGTGGCCAGCATGGCAGAAAATCAGTTTGGCTGTCATGGGCAAAGGGATTCTTCTGCAGCCAGTGAAATAGTCCAGGACCTGCTGAGAGAAAGTGCATTTCCAACTCTGTGCAAGACATTACTATTCTTATTAGCTTTCATGTTTATGAACATCATTAAATCGTTGTGGATTTTAAAAAGTCAGATATTAAGTTTCACCTCAAACAAGGGCTGAGAAGTTCTTGTGTGGAAAAAATGAGGCTTATTACACTTACCTTGACACAGCAAATTGGGATGTCTTTGTGTGATGTTGTAGGTGGACAAATTTGGACACAGCATATGAACTTGATTAATGTGTAAAAACCTCTATATTAAAGTAAGTTAAATCCTAAGGTTCTTAGTCAAAAAGCAATCTCAGGGATTTCTCAATAAGAGTTTTATTTGAATGAGAAACACGGGATTTGATCAGGTTTAATTTTGAGACTAATTCTGTATGTTTGTCCGATCACTTCCAGTGTTTAGATGCCTTTTGTGAAAAATGTCCCTCTTTGCAAAAGAAAATGAAGAGTTTTTAAGTCTTTCTCCCAGTTTCCTGACTTGAAACTGTCTGTGCTGGAAGTCAGCTGCAGTATCTGGGGTTTCAGCACTGGAAGGCTAACAGACTGTGTAAGTCAGTAGTAACAGGCAATGTTAAGTTCAAAAGGGCAGTGGAAGAAATACTGAGGCAGCCTTGAGGGTTTGCCCTGATGGCTTAGGAAGGTCGATACTACGACAGAAAGGGCAAGCTGCCATGAAGCAGGAGGCAGTATCTGAGAAAATGATCCCATTGTCATGCTCAGTTTTCTGATCTTCATTTTCAATCCTTTTTCTCCAAGCACATAAAGAAGCCAGACTATGTGACGACAGGCATTGTACCAGACTGGGGAGACGACATAGAAATTAAGAATGAAGATCAGATTCAAGGGCTTCGTCAAGCTTGTCAGTTGGCCCGTCATGTCCTGCTTCTGGCTGGAAAGGGCTTAAAGGTAACAATTACAGAAGTCCCATAACAGCTTGAGTGTCTCTTATGCTTTCACTTATTTGGGGTTTTTTCCTACTTTTTTGTTGTTTTAACTTTCCTATAATGTGTATCCAACTTTAAGTTTGATCCTGAAAAAATAAGGATTTATTAACTTTTGATTCAGTTCTGCTTATTTATTTCTGTACTTTGGACCTACGTGGTGCATAGTTACTGACTGGCTCAGGTGTAATATCTCAGTGTTTGTAATCGCCTTCACTTTGGATTGTGTCAAATCCTAAGACACGTGCTACATTCTTTCATTTCATGACCCATCTACCTCATATGTTATTCTTCCCAGCTCTGCATGTGTACAAGCCCACACTTGGTCTGCTTCCTCCATTCCTGTCCATCCTTCAGCCCTCACTGTCCTGTGGGATCCAGTATGTCTCACAGAGCTGCCACTGGAAAAAACAACTGCCAAATTCTACACAATTTTCCAGAGTGCATTGATAATAAAGCCTCATGATTTCCAGGAATGTTCCTACAGTATGCTTTTTAGGGTACCTCCCATGAAAAAATGTAGAGGGAGGAGCCTACTACCAGGTTTTGCAGATGAAGAAATGCTTTTTCAGCCTTGCCTTGGTATTTCATGTAATAGCATATTGGATAAGGTGAAATGGGTTGAGTAGCTATGAGACGCAGAGATAGATGGGGACTGTAGGTCAATGCCATTGACTTAAAAGGGGATTTTTCTTTCAGCTATCATCACTCTTTCACAAAGGTTTAGTTCTGGAGCTGGGATGGCAAATAACAAAATTGCCTGAAGCTTTAATCTTACATAGCTTTGTGCATGTTTAATTTTTAATATTCAATTATTTTTCAGTACAATAAAACTTACTCATTTAAAGGCATATACATATTCCAAAGGTTCAGGGTGCAGTGTGGGTTTTGAATGAGAGCAGTATTTCACAAATACTCTTTTGTTGTTACCATGTGTAAACACAAATGTATGCAGTATGGTGTAGTTTAAGACACTGTTCATATTATGTGACAAATCATACATAATAGCAAAATACTACACATACATAATGAATGTTTTGAAGCAAAAAGTTATATAAGTTAATAATTACATAACCAGGACCTGTATACTGTGAGAGAGGTGGCATTTGGAGTTTCAATGCTGAGAGTACAGCCCAAGTCAGTCACAAACTGATGGCGAGCTCTGTTTTACACAAGTGTTTGTTCAAGACTCCCCTGAGTGTGAGGATGCTCCAAAACTCTCCCTCATTGACAGTGAGCGTCTTCTGCTTTCCAGCCTGTTGCTGCACGTGGTCAGTTTATACCCATCTGTTCTTATGCCAACACCGCTCTGTAATTCAAGCAGTTTCCTGCCTTTCCTTGTGTCTTTCCCTTCATGCAGGAATAGAGCTGTGCACCAGACTAAACAAACCAAGCTCTTTTACCCTTTTCTCATAATCTGAACTTTACATTCCTATTTTACCTGAAGAGTCCCATCCCTCCACCTGTTCCTGCTATCTTGCTGAACCCACCTTCAAACTGGCTCTTGCCTGTGCTTTAGCTAGTGGCAGTAAGATCCCCCAATATAACAATGGTGCATTATAATCCATGGATACAGAGAGATGTATTTTGAACATGGTTTTGATGTTGCCATTACTGCCTGTGGGATTTCAAATTACAATACAGTATTATATATGATAGCTTTCCTGGGTTTGAGTAACAGATTTGGGAATAAAACCGCAGATTCTTTGACATGAAAATATTTTATTATATACCATTGAATTGCCCTGTTCCGAATAAGTGATTAGGGGCACAGCAGGTGCCACCCCAAACTTGCCCAGCTAGCAAAAGTATCTTTAAAAGTAAAGCACATACTGTTAAAAGCAGAACTTTTCACAGGGTGTAAGCCATGCAGAGACCAGAGGTCTGTCTGCTGTGTATCCAAAAACCACATCAAATTGCTTGAGCAGAGCAGCAGTAGGCAGCAGCCAGCCGGGTACATAGCAGTTCAGTTTGTCTGTGGGCTAGAGATGAAGATGTTTCAGCAAAGACAGGAGGAAAAAAGCCTGTATTTATCCAGAACCAACATCTGCCGTGTCCAGTCCAGACAGCCTGCCAAGGCTGCGGCTGCCATCCCAGCACTGAGGCTGCCATGGCTGCTACAAAGCGGGAGCATGTGCAGTAATTCCAAATCCCGGTCTTGAACCCACAGTCATTGCTCCTCACCTGCCCAACAACGTTTCTGTGCTGAACAAAATTCAGCTGAGTAAACAGACCTGGTTTTATCCTCAAGTGCACTCTCCTGTATTGACTGTGCATGGCCACGCAATATTTCTATATATAACTGTCTCCTGCACCACAGCCTACCTGTGTTTCACATGTTACTCCACAGTCACAGCCACTGTGATATTTCCTTCAGTGTGCTAAGAATGATACTCCATACAAAGTATGATTTTCAAAGGCTCGGAACTCTTTCAAAGCAAAATCAATTTACAGAGGAACCCTCAAAAGTACTCCTCAATTAGAGAGGTTTCCCTACCAAATTTCAGCTCTAACCATTCCAGCTACAGAGTTGATCCAAAAGAAAAGCAAAAATAATGTTGTTTTATGCATGTGCACTTTGCACTCCATGGACATCCAGAAAATGGCTGAATGATTTATGAAAGAGGTTTTTTTAATATGTAAAATCTTGAGGAAAAGATTAATCTAGAAAATATTAAACATAAAAATGAAGGTTTCTAAAAATGATGGGTCAGTACTTGTAGATTTATAATGATCATCCAGGCTATGGCAACTTTAAGTAAAATATCCTTAAAATTTGAATCTAAATACTTCAGTGTTTTAAAAAAAAATAAGAATACCTGGAAAATGATTTCTTAAAATGCTTAAATACATTGTGGTGAATGCACTGGGCAATTATAAGAATTAATATCCTTTCTTTTACAAATAAAAGGGGAAAATAATGTTGTGTTTAAAGGGACTGAAAGCATTGAAACAAGATATTTCTGTAGTAGCTACTGAAACGATGCCATGGGAAATTGGTGTCTTTGAGAAAGTGGATATGGAAAAAAGAACAGAAAGGAAGTAGGCAGGATTTTAGGTTTTCTAGGAACTTTTGAGTGCTCATTTCTAATGCATGCTTCATTTAAAATCTTTTTTTTTCCAGAAAAAAAAGTCCATACATCAATAAAGTATATCAGACAGTATAGTGTTTTGTATCAAAACAGTATATTTGAAATGTCCAATATTTCATTGAAGCTTGGCTGCAATCAGATTCAATAAATATAAGAAACTCTCTTTGCTTTTTTAACAGAATATTATGTTTGATATTTTAGGTTGGCATGACAACTGAAGAAATAGATTCCATTGTTCATCATGAAATAATCAGACAGAATGCCTATCCATCACCTCTGGGCTATGGAGGTTTTCCAAAATCTGTTTGTACTTCCGTAAACAACGTGGTATGTCACGGTATTCCTGACAGGTATTTCCTCAATAATGTACATTTTGCAACTGGAAATTAAAGTGTTAAACTGAAATTAATAAATTGTATTTAATATTGAATATACTTCAGCTTAACTAAATGACATTCTTAAGCACATTGTAGATGCAGAACATGTTACTCTATGATGCTGACAGCTATTATAGAAATATATGTGAAATAGGAAAAAAAATATATTATCCTATTTGTCCAGACACTTAAAGAAAAATAGCATATTGCATTTTGACTTTAGTGTGTGTGGGGAAAAAAACCCAGTATGGTCTGATTTTTTGTTCATCCAGCAAAATAAGTATAGGCTAAGGAATAAATATATTTGAATTTATGTGGGATTTTTTTTATATTCTCAATACATTCAGCTACTCACAAAGTAAAATATGAACCCTAGTGAGAGAAAAAGAATAAATATAATGGTGGATTTTTCAGGTGTTGATATGTTTTTCGGGTAGTTGTTCCTCATTATTTTATATTCAGCTACACTTGTTCTCTAAATAGTCGGAGCTGAACATTAAAAATGGTTATTCTGTTTGCTTCTGCCTTCCTCCATCACAAAATATCTACCCCTTGATTTTTTATGTATGTGTCATTAGGTGTTTATTCTTACATTCCCTTTGTTGGGAACTGTCTGTCACCATTATTTTTTTTTTCTGTTTATGTTTCAGTCGACCTCTTCAGGATGGAGATATTATCAACATTGATGTCACGGTGAGTAATTCATATAAAAAATAGTCTTTGATCAACTTTAGAATCACTAGTAGCAACAGGAAGAATAGTGGATTGGAGATGGGGGATGCACAGATGGATGTGCTGTTTACTTCTGAGCCAAGGCACAAGCAGCTGGTTTCCTTTTTTGTTTTTAACTGTGTGTTTATTCCAGCTAGACCCAGGCCTGACTTGAATTTAGGACTGGAATCAGATGCACTGAGATCAATGTTGGCCTAAGTGAAATGTCAACCCAATCCTGCTATGTGTCATGTTTTTGAGAAGGTGTAATTGTTATTGATCCACTGTGTAGTTAATGCAGAGCACCACAGTACTGGGCAGCAGCTGAAGATAGATATGTATGAGATGAGCTAACATGAAGAAAGCCAGCATTTTTCCTTCACTCTGCCAAGATTGATCTTCCTCTTCCTGCTGATTTTGAGTGGGGCCTGACATTATCTTACTCTGTCATTAGAGGCTGCATTGGCCTGGGTATGTCAGTCTATTTGGACAGCAACTCTTTTGCTAGCAGTGTTCCCTACATTTATTAAGATCCCCGAAGGTAGTGTTGTGTTCCATTTCTGGTATAGAAGCCCTGAACCTTTTGAGCAGAAACAGAAATAGTGTGATATAACCAGGACTTAATATTTCCAGGGAATCATCAATTATAGCTATTTAAATAAACACAGGTTGGGTTTTCCTAGGAGCAAGAAAGCACAGGAACTGGAAACCTAATTCTCATTTCATTTATGAAAAAAAAAAAAAAAAAAAAAAAAAAAAAAAAAAACAACGTTTTGCAGAGGTCTTTTTTCTTTTTTGCTCTGCATGTTTCTATTTGTCTAAAGTGCTGTTTATTTCTAATATGAACACAGATGTTTTTTGAATCCCACCATTATTTTGCAATAATATGTCACATACAAGGGAGTAGAATCTCATAAAAACAAGCTTTTAAAATCATTAAAGAACCTATTGGTAACTTGATACTACTATCATACTGGCAGAGTGAAGAAATCTTTAGCAGACCTACCTCTGAGCATGAGATTCAAGCTTTCTAAAATATTTTTTCTATTAAAATTAGGGTCAACGACCTTTTTCCCATTATATACTCACGTGTGATCCAGAACTGGATTTGGCTTGCCTTGGGTTTTTGATCTTTTTAAATTCTTTCCCATCTCCATACTTTCTAATTGTAGAATTCTAACTATCAGGTTTACACAGTGCAATCTAGCATTTTTAAACTTCATTTTTTGCCTTCATTTTTACTGGTGTGAACTGGTGTTGCTTTGCTCAGTTTATTAAACTAAATCAGTTTGCAACAACTAAGGATTTAAATCATATTTCTTTGTACCTCCTTAAGGTTCATTTTACTTTTTGTTCAGTCTGTCAGGATAATAATGATACTGTAGATTAAAAAAGTATCGACTTGTATCACAGATACTTTCCGTGATAAACTAAATTAAACTTTTTTTCTATTAACACAGTGTCCATATCTTGTCCATTCTGCTTTACAAATGTCTGACTAAATATTACTGGCCTTTTTGCAGACATATATTTATTTGCTTTTAATATACTCTCATAAAATAAAATAAATCTTGACATTCCTGTGAATGTGAAGATTCCTGCAAGGATGGCAATTTCTGGCTATCCTTGTAAGATTTTTTTTTAGCATTTGAAACTGAACTGTGCTGTGTGTGATAATTGCTTAGTCCAAAGCAACTGAGGAAAAAATACTACTTTTCAGCATTATTAACTGATCTCGTATCTTATTTTTAATGAGCAAAACTGGGGCATTTCACAGCCTCACAGAATAAAAATCAAAGTAAATATTGCACAACAAATTGTTTATAATTGTGTACAGGTTCTATAAAGCAATTAAATAATACTCAAGTTGTTATGTGTAAACACCTAACACTATGTACAAATTATCTGGACAAAAAAAGTCCATTTTAGCACAATTAAAATGGTAGCATTTCATAGATGAAATACAAATTTTATAGGCTTGAAACATGTAGACTTGAAAATGGGTTTTAATATAGAGACAATAGTGTTATCCATTACTGGATCCTCAGCATAGTGCAATTTTCAGCCTATTGTTACCAGGTCAGTGTTTCCTACAACTTGGTTCTTTCACTGAATTTTAAGGAAATATTATGTTACAGTTGCTGTGGTTGTAGTTTATTAACATCAGAAATATGTAATTGCAGCTGATAGGCTGCAGTAATTATTATTTGGTTTATTGTTGGGTTTTTTGTTGTTGTTTGTTGGTTTGTTTTGTTTTTTCTTTTACTCTTGTGTTACGTTTTAAATCTGTGTTTGCTTTTCCAGGATGATGATGTCTAATGTTGGGGGTTTGTGTGTTTTACTTGCTAGATCTAAAAACAAACTAGTTCGGTTTAAATATGAACTATCTACTTTAAAACCTGCCCAATGGGCATTAAATAAAAAAATAAAATAAGATTTTGTGATAGTCTGAACTGGCAGAGGAAGGTGTAGAGCAGAGGATTGCAGCTCCTTTTTGCCAGAGCAGTGGCAACACAGTTGGGCCCTTACTGGCACTCACCTTTCTTTAAAATACCCCTTGCTCCTAGTGGCCTGCATTTTCTTCATATCTCAGCCTGAAGACAAACCTGGCCTTGGGATAAACTGTCTGTGGCATGGAGTTTTTGGGATTGTGGATTTTTTTTTAGTTTGGAATCAACAAAAAAGAATGTGAGTCTGTCTTTCACAAATAGTTTGCCAGTGGCAAAAGTTCAGTGGTTCGAGCTCGGTGAGTAATTAGTTGTAGGATAGTTTCCCACTGTTTGAGGGAGAAAAAGTGTTTTAGAAGATCAAAACTGTACACCATTATAATGTGTATTTTTGTAGGGAAATATCGCTTAGTCTTACAATTATGGGCCTGCCTGCCATGTGCAGGGCTGCAAACCCCATTTTAATGGTGTGTTGCAGAGCTCCATAGTGCATAGCCAGGATCTCTTGTGCTCAACAGAGAATTTCAGGAGAGCTAACGTTTAAAACCTATGAAATGTCAAAAAGAAAAGAGAAAAAACAATATGTAGTTAATTCAACAGCATGTTTCATTTTCAGAACATGAAATTTTTCAGTGCCACAGCAGTACATTTATTCTCTCAAAATTAATCTCTGGAAATCAGAAGTGAAATCCAATGATAATGCCACATTACAGCTTAAAAATGAGATTCAAGAAAACCTGCAACAGCTGACTGGATTTGGTCCTTGCTTTCTGTGGGGTTCACTCTGGCTGTAGGTAGCAGGGTATGGCTCTCACCTCAGAGCTCCAGCGGGGGCTGCTGACTGCGGACATTCACCTCCCTACCAGCCACCAGCAGGTTCCCCTGTGCCCGCGGCCAGCTCTGGGGCTCAGTCCCTGCCCCTCTGGGGTGCAAGCAGGTCCCTGGCTGCAGGGGTGGGGGCCAGGATGGGTGAACACCCGACAGCCCCCAGGGCGTGCTTCAGCCCATCCACGGCCCCCACCCATCTCACAAGCAGCCCAGTTATTCTCATGTCCTGTGGCTAAGCAGTGTCACTGCCTGGTGCACTGCTGGGCACATAGATGCACAGCTTCTGCTTTTCTTGAATTTTTAATTGGCAACATTGGCAATCCTTAGGCACCTTGCAGTCTTTCAAGCTTTTTTTTTTTTTTTTTTTTTTTTTTTCCTTTCCAATTTTTTTTTTTTTCTTTTCCTCTCCAATGTTTTGCTTTTCCAGTCTTGCAAATATGACTTCCCTGTCTATCTGTTGCAATATATCGCTTGTTCCTAGAAAGAATGGATTTAATTAAGATGATGATTTGTTTCTGGATGCAAAATGAAAAAATGTCTTTACATTTCTGCGTATGTTTAGGTGTATTACAATGGCTACCATGGTGACACTTCTGAAACCTTTTTGGTGGGCAATGTGGATAAATCTGGTGAAAAGTTAGTGGAGGTTGCCAGGAAATGTAGAGATGAAGCAATTGCAGCTTGCAGACCAGGGGCTCCCTTCTCTGTAATTGGAAACACAATCAGGTAAGCCTTATATTGACAAGTAAAAGGAGGGCTGGCAAATGGGACAAAGGTTATTGGTGGTTTGGTATAAAGCTGATGACATGTTTTATGATTCAAAACCATCATTTCAGGCTGATATCAGTATGTGAACTGCCAAGCTGTAATGTTGTTCCTTGGGTAAGAGGTATTTTTTTTAAAGTGAATTACACTAGGGTCAGCAAAGATAACTGTAGAAAAAGACAAAGATATTCATAAAGTAGATTTGAATTAACAGATGTAATTTGTAGTGGGCTTTTGTTTATTTTTTATTTGTGACAGTACACCACATCTGTCTAACAGTGTAAGACAGTTAGAAACCATTGTTTTCATTGAATGTTACAAAGGAATTAGTCAACATAAATAAGCTCTTTGTTTAAAAACTACAAAAATATTTAACTCGAGAGCTTCTGATCTTACAAAGAGCAGTGCCTGCTAACGTCACAGGGAAAAAAGAGCTGACATTCAGAGATTTTTCCCTATTTTGCATCTCTTCTAGCCTTCACATAAATGCAGTCATGACTCTTCTGCTGATGGCTTTAAATAAAAATGCGCCTTAGTTTTTTGAAGGTACCTATGGATTATTTTAAAATGTTTGCCAAAAGAAAGAAATATATATCATATACATTTCATTAAGCAATACTTCTTTGGACTGCTAATGGTCCCAACAAGCTATTGAATTCATTCTGATTACTTAAAAGCTGCAAGGCTTAGTCACCTTGAAAGGATGCTGCCTTTTTTTTTTCTTTGTAAATCTTCAAATACTTTAAGAAAAAAAGAGAACAGCAAAATATCAGTTAGATATATTTATAGCTTTAAAAATATTGTAACAGAGTCTGAATCAAACTTTAGTAAAACCTCTTTGGGTTATATCTGAGAAGCTTTTATTGAAGACTTTGTATAAAATTGTGTTTTTGACAGTTTTAAATTATAGGCTAACTAGCCTGGAGAAAAAGGATAGTGTCTTTCTGTTCTTTCATAGGAAATGTTGAATCAGACCCCTACTGGGAAAAGAAATTTAATGCATATCTCACTATCTTACTGTCCATGAATATAATAGAAGTGAATTCAAAATGTAGTTTTATTTTTGCAAATGGGATGAGTCGATAGATGCACCTCATATTTTTGAACACCTAGGGTTCAACAAATTTACTGGTGGTGCTCTTGCATTTTAACAAAATTTATTCTTGAGTAGAAGGGGGCACAGAACACTGGATTCTTATTCAAGCATTCTATCGAGCTCTGCATTCATGGCTGTGTCTAAAGGGCATGTCAGCCTTTGATTCTCTCTGAGAGGTAATTATCCTTTTCCTGTCACGGAACAACAAATGATAGCTAACTACAGAGGCACATTTGCAGTAGTCACATTCATCAACTGCAGAAAAAAAATTCAATTTAATTGTGCAACACAGCTGCACATAGGCTTTTTGAGCATTTCTGTTGTTCTCCCTGTCTTGCTATTCCTCCCTCCAGATCTATTTTTTAAACTTTTTTTTTTCTGGTTATTTTTTCCCCCTTTTTGTCTCTTCTTCCATTTTTACTCTCTGTACTTTCTTGTTAAAGTAATTTTCTTTTGTGGCTCTCATTCTTTTTTCCCCATTGAAGGCTATGAATGTAGAAAATTATCACAATTACTCATATAATTGAGCCTCTTTGTAGCAAGTGCAACTCCAGTAGCCTTTCTCCATCATGAAAATGGTTTCATTATAGGGTTTTTCATATTCTCTGACACCATCTACACAGAGGAACAGGCGTGCAGATGAGATGTACTAGGAACAGGGTAGATCAGTAAGGTCACAGTAGGAATAATTAGCTCTGCTATGGAAAGAGCATCTAGGCCTTTTACTGCTACATAAATGTACTGTCCATGGCTTTTAGTCACAAAAAAACTTACTAACAAATGGAGCTCCCGCCTACTACTTTGAAAAAAAGATTTGTATCAACACTACAATTTTCCATCATTAAGACTAATAACACAGAGCCTAGTATACATCAAGGGGAATAAAAAGAAAAATCTCACATTCAAGTGGCGGCTGGGTGCTGACCTTTGTTCCCTTTTTTTGTGTTCAACTTAACTCTTTACAAAAAAGAGCCACACGCCACACCAACATGCAGGTGAACTCCAGCTAGTGCTAGCAAAGCATGGCATTCAGTTGGAAAATCTGATAAATCTCCATGCAGGATAATGCATTTCATTACAGATTCACGACATTAATTCTAGCTGTTAAAAAAATTAAAAAAAAAAAAAGAAAGAAGAAGAAGAAGAAAAAGAAAAAGAACAGAGTTGAATGTGACATTGGATTTTTGCTGTGTTGTTACAGAGGTCAGTTTACTTGCAAAATGTAAATATATAGTCAGTGTCCCCTTTGCAAAGCAGATTAATTGAAGCTAGTAGCTGTTCAAAACTGCATATAAAATAGCAGGTCATTAACTTTATTTCTCAAGATTTTATCGTGTTGACAATTTAAACGTACTGATTTGTTTAGAACTACTTTAACACTCCCTCTGCTGAAAGCTCACCTTGGTTTGGTGAAGCTGTGTGTTTCAGGTTATTTGTCATTTGACATTTACTTGCAGACAGGCATATAATACATATATATATATATATATCAAAATCTCAAGTTTCACAAGAATTAGATATTATAAATGCCTTAGAACAAGCACTGACAAGCTGAAAACATTTAGGTCCATCAGAATGGAAATGGGTCTAGGTTTCTTTCATCAGTTTTTCTGTAAAGATGCTCCAGTCATATGCAGAATGTATCTTATGCACAAATAATGAGATTTCCTTTCTACAGTAAGTTTAAGAATAATTATATCTCTGAGTAAGTTTGCAGTCAATATTCTAACATAGTCTTTGTTATGGAAGCTCAGTAGCTGATACTGAGTATTTAATTGATAGCAGTTCATTCTCCCATCGGCAGCAAGGTGCAAATAAAAGATTGCATGGGTTCATGAGTTACTTTGCTTAGAAAAATTCGGGGTTTTGCTACCTCTTTCTACTGGGAGGCATATCAAAACTATTGGTCAGTTCCAGTGTAAATAGAATTGGTCCCTATGGTCCATTTTCTTCTACCATTTTTGATGTTTTCAGACAAAAATATATCTAGTTTGAAATCTGCTTTTTAGACAGTGCATCGAAGTGCATGAAAGTGTTATGAGTGTAGAGAGCTAAAGAACTTAAAAGTGATGTTGTTAAATAAACCAAATTTCAACTCCTACAAAAAATAGTGATGAAAGTATTAATAAATGGTTTAAAATGTTTAACACATAAGTATATGTTTTGATATTAATTTAGAACAATATAAAGCAGATTTAAAAAAAAAATCTGTTTCTATCAGATTATGCACATTTAAACAATAAGTGGCTCAGGCAAAATAAGTCATTTTAATGTCATCTGTGATAGATTTTCCTTGACAGCTACTGTAAATTACAATTACACTGCTTCTCTCTGCACTTGAAAGTAAGCATTGCAATAAATTATCTTTTATTTCAATCCATCATGTCTGCTTTCAGAAACAGGGAACCTCAAATAAAAGTTCAGCACTATTGTAAGAAAAATACAGTAATTTGTGTTCCAGTTTGAAACTAAAATGTACCTTTCTTTCAAAAAACAATTGTTGATTTTCAAAAATATTACTAATTATACCTCAACATTTATTGTCATTACAGGGAATCCGTGAACTTGTGCATTCCCTCAGTCTAGGTTTACTATTTCAGAAAAAAACCACTTGAATATTTTCTCTGTATAATTTTGTAATTCTCAAATTAGATATTATGGCACTATTCAAAATAGGTATTTTTATCACAAATAAATATAGCTTAGGATGAGTCTGGTTTCAATACTTTAAAAAAAAACAAAAAGCAAGTATGCCATTCAGTGGCCATTTTGCTAATAATATAGCTAAAACAAACATGATTACTTCTAATTAAAAACAAAAATCAGATCCCTATATAAGAACACAATTATCATGGGACTGTTACCAGTTTGAGTGTTTCTCAAGTATATATTCACTGCCAAGAAGTGTAAGACAAATTTGTTTAACAACTTCAGACATTCATGTCATGCTGCTCTGCAGGACTGTTTTGGATAAAGTTTCATCCCTGGTAAGAGAAGCTGGCACTGTGGGAGGAGCATCCCTGGCTGAGATCAATTCACCAGGATGCTCATCCTTGGCAGCTAAGCAGTCTGTGCCATCTTGTCCAGTCAGTCAAATTCTTCCTTCCCTTGTGCCACCACAGAGCCCAGAAAAGCAATAGCTATCAATGCTGAAAATGGGATTATTTCACTTCTTTTCTTTGGGAAGTGCTAAGAATACTAGACCAGACCTACCTTGAGGAAAAAGTGACAAAATTTGGTAAAAATAAAAGAAGATGCTCCTCTAGGTGCTCCTAGAGGGTATCTGTGCAGGACGGTCCCCTAAGGAAATTTTTTTAACCTGCTTTTCAGCTTAACAGGAGAGATTTATCACCCAAGAGCTCCTTCGAGGGGAAGCTTGAGTATCGGGGAAAGCTTTCTAGAGAGTCAGTCCTGCCTGTTCCTCCTTTGTGGCAATTTCCCTGTTAGGCTGCTGTCAGGACAGCAGTGCATGTCTCCACACTTATCCCTCCTTTCAGAGAATTAGCTGTTGTCTGGCAACATGGGAAGAGGATGCTCAGATGGCAGCTGACACCCATTTCTTCTGTCTCCACTCTCCGAAGCATGACACCACCGTATGACAGACTCTGACAATGGCTCCAGGAGGATATCTCGGCCCTCAGTGATGTTCCTTTACCAGCTGGGTCACTGCTGATCCATCCCAATGCCAGACACTTGGCCTGGCTTTGCCATCAGCAAAAGAAAAGCAGCACTGCAGCTACTCTTGACTCTGCAGCCACTGGGTTGGAACAGATGGCAGCAAAATATAAAATCAAATACTGGGGTCACTAAATAATTATGCTTTTAATCCTGCCCAGTTCACCTCTGCCCAAATATGCAACAAAAATCAATATGTGTGATAATAAATGTTGTCAATGGGTATTTTTAACAGTTACTATTCTGAAGAATTTTTTTTTTCTCTTGATGCTGTCTTGTGAGGTGTACCTCTGCTGCCCCAGCGTTTGCTCTGGAAATTATTTGCTGGGATGTGCCCCATCCATGGGGAACTGGCAGACTGGCACATCCTTTCCCACAGCAGATGCCAGGCAGCCCAGCTCAGCCACAGCAGCCTCTGCCTCCTGCCTTCACTGCTTTCCCACTTGCAATCAGGGTTCCTCCAATGTCTAAACTTACACTGTCTGCAGGAAGCATTTGATGAAATTGGGGTAGCAATCTTGTAAGGTTGTCTTATGGGAAAGCCACAAAGAAAGGCCACCACTGACAGGTCCTGGGCTGGGCAGTGAGACCAAAATGTTGAGCTGTTGCCAGCAACAAATGGTAAATGTGTGCAAAAATGCTCCACTCCGGCATCTTGATTTTTGAATCAGATTCCACAATTTGGGAATCCTGGAGACCAGAGAGGCTAAGCAAGACCAGTAGTTCATTTTGCTCTTCTCAGAGCTGTTTCAAAGTTACAACCAACATGTTCATTTACAGGATTACCTTTGCAAATTGTAGCTAGGATTAGCAGATTTGGGTTTTTTTTGTTTTGAAGACTGTTTACTGTAATTCCACAAGGATTTAAGAGCTCACTGGAATTTTAAAGCTAGTAGTTGTGGAGAGAAACGCCTCATAGGACCTTCTGAAGTGCATGCAAATACTAAAACCAGATTGAAAGTGGCTGAGTTTCAACCTACAGTTTATTTTCTGTGTGTCACTTCAGGTCTGTTGACCATGTTACATTTTATGTAGAGAATACCAAGACTCTGTATGTAAACAAGAAGGAAGAAGGAGGGGCATGGTGTCTGTCAGAGTAGATGTCAAAGCCCTGGGAGCTCCAGGATCCTTTCCAGGGTCCCCTCTGATCACAGGCAGTAACCACTGAAGTACTGATGCTAACAGAGTTGTTTTCAAGCTATTTGACAAGAAAGTGGTAGAATTCACCATTGAGATGCATGTGAATAATTTCTTTGACTGCAGGGAGACAGGATACGGTTGTAACACTGCCTTCTGTGTACCCTGGTGCTTGTGCACTTGGTGCCCAACATGCAGCTCCTGCTGCTACTGCCACCCTCCTTGGCAGCAGCTGAATGCTGAGGCTGGAGCTTCCCCTGCTCCCTGGAAAGTATGTAGCTGTGGTGCTCAGAGCTGCACAGAGTGAAACTATTTCTGTCTTGCTACAGAACATGGATTTTTCTGGAAGAAAAATCATGTAGTAATACAAAAAATGACCATGGTCTGTCAGTGGTCAGGGATGCCATGTAAGGACATCAGCAAAACTGAACAGTTAGTGTGATTGTTTATGATTTTGCATAAAGACTGGCAGAAGATGAAAGAAAACCTTATCATATGTTGCATGGATGGCTTCTCCCATCTCTCTTCAGAGAATCACTTCACTCATATGGAAATCATCATCTGCATTGCTCTGGGCTTGGTCAGTGGAGATCTTGAATTTTGTGTATGTTTCTGAAGAATCTGGCTTTCTAACTCATTGCCATTCCCTGTATTTCTTTCTTGGCCTTCAGCAGCATCATAGCCAGCAGGCCAAGTCTCTGACCCAGATACAGGGAACATGATAGAAAGGCAGGGGAGAAAGTATTTTCCATCTCTAGTAGCACTTCTCATCGCATAATCCTTCATTATTTTTTTCAATATAATTTATGTATAAAGTTTATGTAAACATAAACTATTTATAAAGCCTGGACTTAGAGTGCAAACAAATGAAGCCGAAATTTCTAGCTTTATTGGTAATCCTCTTTTCCAGTACTTTGGAGTTTGGGGGTAGCTAAACCTGAAATTTCCATTCTTCTCCAGAGTTTATGAAGAAATGTGGTCAGTCTTTATATCAGAGCAATGCGTAGGTAAAAAGTAATATACAAATCCTGTTGAAGCATGTTCTAAGGTCTGAACACTGCAGCATTAACCAACTCTACTCTCTCAGTGCCATTTTACTGTGGTGGAGCAACATGTCCCTCAATTGAGTGGCATTAAATCCTGGGGCACTGACCCATGGGCTCTGGAGCCAGCGCTGCAGAGTCTGAGGAGCCTGGTGTGCAAAGGGGATTACTTTGTACAGCAAGCTGAGGCCACTTTGCACCTGAATAAAAGCTACCCCACAGGGATTAACAGGCTTTAATTTCTGCAACAGCTTTACCTTTAGTTGAGTTGCTTAACTTTTTCAGCTTTCCACCTGTAGTGAAACTGTGAGAGAGCATTTCCTAAGACATAAATACAGATAAACCTGAAGTTCTCTGGTGACTACCTTCATTCAAAGAAGCAAGTGAAGCTTTTAATGTTTCAGGCAAAATCTCTTCAGGCTAAGTGCCTTCCTGTCTTGCTCCTCTTTGATTTTAGAAATAGTACGGGGGTGATACATAGGGACATGGGTGACTTTCTTGTCACTTCTAATCAATCTCCAGATCTTCCTGAATCTCTGCATTTTTCTGGTTTGGATATGGGCAGGCCTCCTGGCTGAACAGCCTCAAATCACTCCGTCCACCACTGCCTCCACCACTGCTTGAGTACAGGGAGAGCCTGAAAGTGAAGCCTGCGAACATGGGGTGGGCCAGCAGCCAGAGGATATCCCATGTATCTCCAGGTCCTCCAGTTTTGGGGAACTGGGATAGGATTTTGCTTTCCTACCATGGGTGGGGATCAGTGCCCAGCCATGGTCCTGCAGGCAGTTCTCAGAGATGCTTTTCCCTGAGACAGGCCATGAAAGTCAGGATGGATTTTGCAGGCAGAACTGAAGCACTGTAATTGTTATGATTTGGCTTTGCCTCTGTGGCAGTTGGTTCATTAGAAGTACATTTTTATTTAGCATAAATGTATTTGCTGGACTTTCAATTTGTTTTTATACTAAATGTTTGAAGTACTATGAAAGCAAAGTAGTAGGGCTCTTAACTCTCCCTGTTGGCAGCAGGAACCTCTTCTGCAGGAAACCCAGTGCAGGCCCCTGGGTGTGCAGCCCAGCACAGACTCCGCACTTACAGAGAGCTCGGCAGACACTGTGGTTTGGTACTGTGCTGGGGCCTTGTCCGCCCAACTTGGAAACTTCAGCTGTGCCATCTTAAAATGAGTTCCCAATGTGCTTGTGGAAAAGGTTACCCTCCATCAAGCAGGGAAACAACACACTGCCGTTTTACCTAGACAGCAGGGCTGGCGCGGGAGCTACCCGCCTCTGTTGGCAGGCGTGTTAACTCTGAAACCGAACAATGGCTCAGCCGTGCTCACTTCAATGACTGTCTTTCGGAACGGTCTCAAAGTGGTGACCCAGTGTCGGTAGCAAGACGGTAGCAGGGGCTGGGGCGGTCTAGGGGGGGTTGTGGTCAGGGCACGCACTCTGAGAGGTCTTCTTTGCCCCCGCAGCTCCGTGGCATGGCAAGGTGGCTTCCAGGTCTGCCCCTTCTTCGTCGGCCACGGCATCGGGTCGTACTTTCACGGGCACCCCGAGGTGTGGCACCACGGTAAGTGGCCCCCGCCCGCCGGGCCCGTGTCCCCCCGCGCCGCTCTGCTCCGCCCGGGCGATGAGAGGGCTCCGGGGAGGGGAGAGGGAGGGCGGTAAAGCGAGCGGAGCCCTCCACACACATACACACCCCCACGCACGCTGCCGGTCCGGCGGGGCGGGGGATTGCCTTGGGCAGATTAAACCACTGGGAAGCTGGAGGGCACCCCCGGCCTCGTTTTCTGAGGGTCGCGTGGGTATTTTTGAGGACAAGTCGCTCGGTAACGGAGCTGTCGGGGCAGCTGAGCGCTGCCGATCGCCTCCCCCGGCCGCTCCGGGCGGCAGCCGCCGTGCCCCGCGCCTCCGCCTCCCGCCCGCGCCGGCAAAGTTTGTCACGGGGCAAAGAAAAATCTCTGCTAAAACATTAAAGCTCCCGGCCTGGACGGAGCCGCCGTCGGGGTGGTGTCGCTGCAGCCGGGGTGGGATCGCTTTCGGCGGGCGCTCCGGCTCATAACGGGGCTCGGGTGCATGGTACCTGCGAGCTAAAAAGGGGTTTAAACAACGGGCTTGGTTGCGTTCGCTTAAACAAAAACAAAAAAAAACAAACAAAAAAAACCCCAACAACAAACAAACCACCAAAAAAATCGGAAGATACATAAACGCGATTTTTTTTTTCTTTTGTAGCCAATGACAGTGATTTGTTAATGGAAGAGGGAATGGCATTCACAATAGGTTAGTAACTCTCTGATATGCTTTTCTGTTAAGAAGCACACACGGAGCAGCCCAGATCTGTAACATTTTTTATTGGGATATAGAAATAACCGTGCCGACAGGGGGATGTCAGTGAGATTGACATCTTAGGAACAGATTAAAATATCATTTTAGAAATGCATTACAATCTGTTTGGATGAAATAACTTTCAAATTACAAGATTTAAAGAATGAAATGTTAATTATAAATTTTGCTAATATTTGACTCATATTTTTGGCAAGGCAGAAACTCTGCCAGCACACTTGATTTGAGGAGGGTGAGAAGGATGCAGTCGTGTCCCCGAAGCCAAGCAGCCTGGTGGCACTTAGTCATTCGCTGCCTGCCAGAGCTGCTGTTGGGTTTGGGGACTGCGACGGCGGTAACCAGCTGGAGCCTCGCCCCGCAGACTGATCGTGCTCACTTCCAGTCGTGGAGAACTACTGGGGAAAAAGCCTTCTTTCTCCCTGTGTGGCTAAATGGCGCAGCAATTAGAGGGAAATAAGAAAATTGTTGTTTTGCTGATTTAATGAACATTTTAAGCCTGTTAAAAAAATTCAAATATTTAAAACTATCTGTTGTTTATAAATGTGGTTGGTGCTTTGGTTATTATCCACACAGTCTTAATTAAAGCTTGATTAAAATTCCATGCTTTTACAAAAGAGAAATGGGCAACTTCCTACCTTGCTATTTTGTCTTCCTTTTTAGTTCACATTTTAGTGTGTCAAGGGAATGCCAGCCCAGGGAGATAGGACCTGTGTGGAAGGGGAGCTGCCTGCTGGGATACTCCCCTTCTTGCTTGTTTCACAGTCCACGCAGGAGCGCAACTAACTTTAGAATACATTTTGTTTTTCTTGCTGCAGAGCCAATAATAATGGAAGGATCCCCTAAATGTAAGATTCTGGAGGATAAATGGACTGCGATTTCTGTAGACAATAAAAGGTGCTTGATTTTATTTTTTGGTATTTCCTAAGACATGGAACTCATCACTGACAGCCCAAAAAACCCAAACAGATGAGTTTCCAGGCATGGTGAATGTGTTTTCCCCCTCCTAACTGCTAAATGTGAATTTCAGATCGGCACAGTTTGAACATACCCTTGTGATTACCTCAGAGGGAGCAGAAATCCTCACTAAACTCATGGAAGAAGCCTAAAAATGGAGCAAGGAGTGGAGAGACTTTCTGTACTTCTGGGATTCCAAGTTTCACTTGGGACAGAGGTTTCTGTAATTTCTGGGGGAAATGGGTGTTGTGTAAGTCACTCCAGGGGACAGAAAAAGCAATTTCAGGGGTTGGCTCTGGACATAGTTCTTTCTGTGTATTACCTGGTTCTTATTTAATAAAAGTCCTTAGCTTTTTTTGCGACTCTAGGAGCAGCCAAGCACAGTCTGCAAGTGGCAAAGGGTTTGGGTTATTTGAGGTTAGAGGCAGAAAGTGGCTCCCCTCTCTTCCAAATCCTGTGTGGGACAAGTAGATATCAGACGATGCAGTTTTGAAGCAGCTGAGAGGACAGAGAAACATAGTATTTTCCCTTTATAGCTGAGGTATGGAGTCAATTTGTCTTCATTACGATTAACACAGTGCTGTTTCCCAGGCTGTAACTTCTACTAGGATGGAAAAAAGTTTCCCGAGTGTGTCAGGCAGAGGGAGCAGACTCTTCCCAGCATCATTCCCAGCAGCAATCCCCACTTCTTGCCTCTTTTTACACAGCACAAAAAGTGATTAAAAATGAGATGCAAAGCACACCTCTCCGGGGATCAATAATTGCCCTGCTTGAAGAATTAGCCAGTTTGGAGTAATCACTGCTCTGTGGTGCCCATGTTAGTTAAGGGAGAGGCACTCTGCAGTTTAAGCATTTTATGGAAGCAGATGAGTTTGCAGTCCAGGAGATGAGCCCTGACTCCTGCACAGAGTTTGGAACCAATGGACCTCATGAGCTGCATGTCTCGCTCGGTCCTATGCTTTCTGCAGTCCTGTCCTGAGCCTGCCAGGGGTGCAGGGGTTGATTTGCAATTTATCCAGTTGCTGACTGCCCTGTGGGGCCAAACAGGTCTGGCATTGGTATTTGGAGGCTACCAGAGCAGGACCTGGGCCTGTGAAATGTGGGGTAGCCTTGGAGATAATTAAAAGATTTCCAGAAGTTCTCCAGGCCCACGGCAACAGTAGCATGGTTTGGTACAAATAACTTGCCCCTCATTGCAGGCAGATGGGGTTGAGTGCTGAGGGCTGGCCAGTTCACATTCAGGCAACCAGAGTGGCTCAGCACTGGTTCCCTCAATGGTCCTGGACAGAAGTAAGCTACTTTCTTACAGCTTTACTCTGCTGTTTGCTTTTATTAAAGTACAGTGAGCTCTCAGCTCTAATAGTTTCTAACAGCAGCTTTTCAAAAAGCAGGCACCCCCCTCCCTGAATACGGCTAGCACCGCGGGGCAGCCACTCAGCTTCATCCTCCCCTTGAGGAGCTTGGAAGGCCATAAAACCTGCAAAACAAACCATGCGGCCAAGTTTACAAATACGCGGAGATTAAACAATGCAAAGGACAGTCGGCATTGCCTGGAGGGGCATGTATTTAGTTCCTTTACATTCCATCGCCCAGCCGCGCTGGCCCTTCTGAGGGGCACTGGGGGCAGCTGGATGTCCGGCGAGTCCTGGAGGTGCACCACAGGCGCCTCCCGTGGATTTTGGCCACGCCGGGAGCCCCTGGATAGCACCGCAAGTGCCAAGCTTCTCACCGTCGTCTGTCCCTCTGCCTCCTGTCCTGCTCTTACCGCGGCGTGGGATAAGGTGGGAACGGGGCAACCGGGAGCAGGGAACCCCCCGCAGTCCGTCGTGGGGGGACTGCGGGCAGCTCCTGGTAATCACTGCGCTCTGAGGCCCCGCCGGTAACTCTGGTGGGACTGCGAGTTCTACCGGCCGCTGCGGAGCGCTGGTGGCTGGGCGGAGGCATTGATAGCGCACCTTTGTAATCCTAATTACAAACGAGACTGAAGACATGTCTCGGCTGTTCGGGGACAGCCAGCGCCTCGCACAAGCCCGTCATGCAGAAGGTCTCGCCGGGCCAGCGCGATGAGAGTCCCGACGTGGCAATCGCTCCCGCGGGGTCAGGACGTCCTGTGGCCGCGGCCCCTCCGCGCCCGCCGAAGCCGCCCTGACCGAGGTCAGCAATGCACGTTGGGGCGGGGCGTCCTTGCTCCGCAGGACGGGTACGAGCAGAGCCTCACCGACCGGTCCGCGGAGCTTTGGCGGTGTTAGAGGGACTGTGGTTCGCCCCGGGACTGCCTGTGCCCGGCCGATCGGAGAAGAGGGTAGCCCCGGCGGACGCGGAGCGGCCTCCCCTCTCTGCAGCTGTCAGGCTGAGGCCGGCGAAGGTGCCGGAGCTGCCGGGGCGCCCTGTTCCCTACCTGGTCAAACTCGCTGACCCGCCTCGGGTGGTCACTTCCATGGCCAGCAGGGCAGAGCTGGCTGCCGGGGGAGACCGCATGCGTGCGGAAACACCGCCACTGCCCCTTCCGCGCCAAACCTCGGGGAGTTAGTGAGAATGAAGTTTGAGCGTTGCGAGCAAAGCAAAATAACTCCAAAACATTAAGAAGGAAAAAAAAAAAAGGGGGGGGAGGGGGAAGGTGGCAAAAAATCGTTAGGAAACGGTCAATTAAAGCCAACAGGGTCCCTAATGAAAGAAAAAGAAAAGAAAAGAAGAAAAAAAAAAAAACAACAAAAAAAACAGGAGCTGAGGGGCTCGGTTGTGCCAGCTTTGCACAGTCAGGGGCCGGCTGCTCCAAGGGCCGTCGCTGCCCGAAAGAGCCTGAACACTATGCGGGCTCTGCTGGGGGTGCCCCAGCCCCGCTGCCGGCGCTAATACCTCTAACGACATCAACGCTGCGATTTGTTTTGAATGTTCACTTTTATTGGTGTTCTCCCTTTGCCAAAATGTGCTTGATTACATAGATGTAGTGCCGTGATAACTGCGCACCCTAGACAGCCTAGGTGTAACCGGGAAAGTTCAGCCCAGGCCAGATCAAATCCCAGGCTGTTTAATGCTGGAAGGCTGCATGTTGCTATTAGTGTTAAATATATGGCTAATTATGCGTATGAAAATTAAACATCAGTGTTATGCTAATGGGGCCGCCTTCAGCTGTGGATCAGAGCACTTGAGACTAGCATTTAATCAAATGAATCAGTAACTAATACATCTGCACGTGTGAACTTTCACAAGATCATTTTCCTGTTACAGTCACACCGCAGAATTATGAAAGAAATAATTATCAACACTTTCTAATTATCTAGGAAAGTAATTTGGGATTCATCGTGGGCTTTCTGGGGAGGATCTCCTAAGTCCCACCTCATTTACCGCTCACGCACGCGGAAGTTTTCATTTTAAGCTCAAATGCGCCGTTGGACCCTTTCAGGGCGATTTTGTTTGGTTGGATTGCTTTTTTCCCTTTAAAACAAGAAGGGCAATAGCCGGGCTGCGCGATCTGGAGGTGCGGATGGCGCTGAGACCCGCGGGCCGGGGCCGAGAGCCCCTGCGCGTCCGCGGAGTTCGCGCGGCCTGGCGGGCGGGGGCCTCTCGCTTTGTCCACGGGTCCCGCCGCCGTCTGCCGGAGCGGGGCGGGCAGCTGTAAGAACCCCTGCAGCCCGCTGAGGCCGGCGGAGCACGGCTGCCGTCCCCTCCGCGCCGCCTTCCCGGCGAGGGGCGGAGAAGGGCGGAGGGGGTTGCGGTGCCTTCCGCCGAGCTCCGGATGGGTCGGCGGCGGCGGCGGAAGCGAGAGGCCCGCGATGGGAGCGGGTTCCCGGGCGGCTCCGTGCCGGGGCCGGCCGGGAGCGGGGCGGGCGTGCGGCCGCCGCCGGCGCTCGGGCTGGCGCGGCGCTGCCAGCCCGGCTCTCCGCGCTCACCGGGGTTCGGGCGAGCCCCGAGCGCCTCGGACCAATCCAAAGCGATTATGCAAGACGGCGGACCAATCAGCTCCGCCGTCTCATGAATATTCATAGACTTGGCTGAGTCAAAGCTTTTAGGCGAGTTTGTGTAGATCTACAGCATCATGCTTAGACTTTTCAAAGAGACAAACTCCATTTTCTTATGAATGGAAAGTGAAAAACCCTGTTTCGCTTAAATTGGGTTCTTTCCTGTCCTGAGAAACACAACAGACCCCAAAAAGGCAAGCTGAAGAGAGAACACACACACAGACCAAGCGACAAGAAATGACCATGACTACCATGCCAGAGAGTCTAAATAGCCCCGTCTCAGGGAAGGCTGTCTTTATGGAGTTTGGGCCGCCCAGCCAGCAAATGTCTCCTTCTCCCATGTCCCACGGACACTATTCCATGCACTGTTTACACTCCGCGGGCCACTCTCAGCCTGACAGCTCGTACAGCACAGCTTCGTCCTTCTCCCGACCGCTGGGCTACCCCTATGTGAACTCGGTCAGCAGCCACTCGACCAACCCCTACATCAGTTCAGTGCAGTCCTACCCCAACAGCTCCAGCCTGACTCAGACCCGGTTAGAGGAGACAGGTAGGTGCACTCGGCTTTGGGGAGGGGGGGAGGGGAGGAGGGAAGGCAAGGCGGGAGGGAGGGTGTTGTATTAAAAAAAATCTATCTGGGGAAAAAATTAAATTAAATTACAAAATATTAGTCTAGAGAGCCTGAGGATCACAGGGGACCAATACACAGAGCACACAATGCTTGGCTGGAAAAGAAACCAACCCAGATGTGCACGTATTAGTCTTCGTAATTATTTATTGCGTAGCGCTATAAACAATGTATGCAATTAAGGGTAATTAAACCTAAACTGCAGCCTGTAAAAATAGCAAACTTTCTCTGGGAAGAAGCCTGGGCTGCCATAATCGCCCGGAGCCTTTGTTAGCGTTACTCGAGCTTCACTTTTCTTCCTCCTCATTATTGTTATTGTTGATGTTGCTGTTATTGTTGCTGCTGCTGCTATTACTGTTACTGCTATTATTATTATTTATTCTGCATCGTTTGTTGTTTGTAGGGGCCGAATCGGAGAAAAGCACTGTGGTAGAAGGAGGGGAAGTTCGGTTTAATGGGAAAGGGAAAAAAATCCGCAAACCCAGGACTATTTACTCCAGTTTGCAGCTACAGGCTTTGAACAGGAGGTTCCAGCAGACTCAGTACCTGGCTCTCCCCGAAAGAGCCGAGCTCGCAGCATCTCTGGGACTCACCCAGACCCAGGTACAGCTCCGACTGAGCCGGCCCCTCTCCCGTGTCCCCTCCGTGTCCCCACCGTCGGCGTGGGAGACCACACGCGTAATGCACACACCGGGTCACAGCCGCGGGCAACAGGGCCCGAGGCGACACCCGTCCCGCCGCTGGGCGCTCCCGGTGCTGTGGAAGCCCCTGCAGAGCCCGCTTGAGTGGGCCCAGGGGGTTCCTGCTGGGTGGCTTGGCGTCACAAAATAACCCAGCAGCCGCGGGGGGAATGAGGGAGAGAAGCTGGGGGGCAGCCGGGTGCGGGGGTCCATCGCGCCCTGCGAGGGATGGGGGCATGCTGGACCGTACGGAGGGATGCTGAGCCCTGCCCCGATCCCCTTTGCAGGTGAAGATTTGGTTTCAGAACAAGCGCTCCAAATTCAAGAAGCTGATGAAGCAAGGAGGGGCCGCCCTGGAGAGCAGCGCCTTGACCAACGGCAGGGCTCTCTCGGGCAGCTCGCCACCCGTGCCT